CTATAGGATGTGAGAATGTTCAGGTTGCATTATGAAAAAAGGCAATAAAACCAGGATTTATTTTTGTGATTGTAGAAAAGCTAAAAACTGTAAAGTAAACACCAGACTCACCCTGCAAGCAGTCACCTACTTTCTTTGTTTGTTTATTTATCTTTTTTTTTCTAATTAATAGAACAACCTACTATTTCTAGAGAATCATGAAAAGTCAAGCGTGTTACATAACCAGCTTGCCCTGACAGCTGAAGATAAATGCTGTTACAACATCCTAGACACTCAGCTGCCTGATTTGCAAATGGAAGCCATTTATTACCCAGTCAGAATTCCAAGAATTGAGTGTTTGGGAATTGAGTGTTTGGTTAATAATGAGCCCCCAAACTGATGATGCATCTATTTGTGAGCCAAAAATTCTGCCTGTAAAATCAAACTTTGAACTGAGGTTCTTTGAAGAGCTGGAGCCATAAAAGCTGCATCTGGAATTGCATATCAAATAGGTTGAGGAAGGGAGAGAAGGTGGAAAGTTTCCATCTCAGATAGGTAACCCTTTAATTAATGTCTAACACCAACCCGGATGGTTTTAAAGATTTTTTTTTAAAGTAAACAGTTTAAATGAAAGTATTAATAAATATATACATATATCAGAGATTGGCTACATATGAGGAAAGCTGAACTAGCTTGTGGCTACATGTATGTACTTTGGTTAATGAATTAATTTTACAAAACACTCATATTCCATGTTTTGTTAGAAATACCATCTTTTATTATAATAGAACCTGCGGTCACATGCATAAATATCGGTGCAGTAAAATATATTTTCATTGAGTGTTTACTGGCAGCTGACATGAAATTGCATTTGTCACATGTATTTACCAATTGCACTTCATACAGCTAGACAAGCTGGTGTAAGAAGTAAAACTGCTGTTTAAAAATGCACCTTCTCCCTCCACTCCACTCCCCTCCCCCCCATCCCCCACCTCTCTTCTTTTATATGGTAAGGTAGGTTAAATTGGAAGAAAAAAAAAAAAAAAGAGCCTGAAGATAAAATATTGATGTACAACAATTCAAGCTGTATACACAAGATGCTGTTGATAAAAACTATTCCTGAATAGAAAAGTTCAATAAAAATATATGAACTAAAAAATATGGTGCATAAGAAGAACAAAGTCTGATTTTCAGAGTCTAAATAGCTTTCTCTTGAAAGCTCAACTTGGTCTAATTATGATCTTTCTGGAATAACAGAGCAACATTTACCTTTCACTCCATCCATTTTCCTATCAGTAATATGTATATGCTTCCCACAGCATTTAGAGTCATGAGATTTCATTTATATGGAGCTTCAAAGACAGAAAATGAAAGACATCCTGTCATTGGTGTTGTAGCTGAGTTGGTAAATGAAGCCTTGGGGTGGAGATGCTCAACCACCATTTTTCATCAGCATTTCAGGCCGATGCCTCATGCCTGGTACCTGACATCCACATCAGCTTGTGGTTCTAGGTGCTGGGGCACCCAGAGGGGCATTTATGGAGAACTAGAATGAAAATGAATTTTAAATCATCTTTGCAGTATCTTTGCCCACTTGGAATGCAACAGAGACTCTTGTCTTTTATTGTTTATTGCAAACAGAAGGGAAAAAGGTTTCATTTTGAAATGGCCGTGCAATTAAGATGCCTGGTCCCTAGTGACCAGCAAAGAGGACATAGCACAGAATGTATCAATAAAAACCAAGGAAATCCAGCCTGTTAGGGACTGACACAATATAATTAAATTTTACATTTGTTCCTGAAAGGGTATTGGCACAAACTGAGCTCATTAATTCTAAATTAAAGCTTTTATTCTGGCCTGTCTACAACAACCCCTTTTAAAAAGTCTCTGTTTGCTGGATACACAGGTGGCATTCACATATCTATTACATTATAGAAGGAGACTTGACAGATTCTTGTCACTTGAGTACACAGAAAAATGAACATTTGGAATTATGTAACCTCCTAGGGAGGCCTGATTCTTCATAATACCGTTCTAATTCTTACAGTGTAAGTAAGTATAACTTTAGAATTTATACCTCATATGGTCCTGTGTCTAGAAATTGGCCAAATTCTTTCCACCATGTACCAGAGGTGGAAAGTCTACCCCAGAACTGTGACTGCAGTGACACCTGACACAACAGAATGAGGGAGAAGAGATAATGAGTTTATAGTTTGAAGAATTTGTAATTAAAGCACAAAAACTTAGCTCTTTAGAAGCCAATTGAATATCTAGGTGCTTGTTTCCCCCACAGTGTTAGCTTAAGGTAGGAACTAAGTGTTATCCTTAATAAGGCATCCATATAGCTTGACTTAAATAATGCTTTAAACCTGAAATAGCTGACCTGACTAGTTCTGAATTGCAGCATTGCTGCTGAGGTTATTAAACTAGTACCATGAGATCTGTGCAGCCACAGTTTCCGTTTGCAACCCGTCTGCAGCTAATCTAATCATCCCATGCAGTCACACGCTGCTTTATAGCCTCGACTGAGTTAACTGAGGTGGAATAATTGAAGCTAATTGTTGCAGCACAGACAAGCCCTGGCTAGATTGAGAACATTAAAGCATTACAGCACCATGTATTTATGCTAGAGGGCACTCATATTTCATTCTCAGCAGTAACAGAGCTTGGCATTTGTTTAATATATACCTTCAAAGCACAGTGCCAACAGTAACTTTCCAGGAGTGCTGTGAGGTAGGAGTGTACATCAATCCCTATTGTACAGATGAGGAAACTGAGGCAGAAAGGCTAAGGTATTTGACCCAGACCGCAGCAGGAGTGAAAGGATGTTTACCATGGGTGTTAAAGGGTGACACTGTGATCAAGACAACTTGAAAATTACTCTCCTCCAAAAAAAGCCAGCTCATGATATATATGGATCCTTACATCTGTGTACGTGGATTCATCCTGGATGTGGCTTTTTTGTACTTAAAACCACAGACCTTGCTTTCTTGTTCTAAAATTCTGTGACAAAAATATATCAGTTTAAGGCTTTAGGAAGAGCATATAAGGAGCTATGTGTCTGTCCCCGGCTCTCCTCTGCAGTGCCTATATGGTAACAGATCATTCAGCAATAGGCTGAACTACAGAGACACATGAACCCCATAGGTCTCACAGGAAAATGTCAGCTTGAGGATTTTTTTAAAATTATTTTTCCTACCCAACACCTATTTACTATCCTTTGAGAGTTTTACTCCTTCATTTCCAACTAATTATACAGTGAAGTATTGTGGTGATGTCTGCAAACACAAGAGGTCATGAGATTCTGCCTTGTCCCCTCCACGGTGTTACACATCTCTAAGGACAGAAACCCATCTCAGAAGACAGCTCCTGCCACTGGGAGTTCACAGCTGAGGAAGGAAAAGGCTGAGCAGCAACAAGAAAATGGAAGTGATTTGTCTGTGGCAAGAGACAGACAAAGTTTGGCTTCCGGGGGCTTGCAGCCAGATGTCAAGACTTCTTGTCTAGACACACTTGTCTGAATGACTCCACAGACCTCCAGATTTTGTGAGACTCTGAAAATCAACTGTTTCATTTCCACAGTACAGCTCAACAAATTCTGCACTACTCCAGGAGTGTTTCTTCGGACTCTCATTTTGCTTCCTCTGATCATTCATACAATTCTGTTTTTAGAAGAATGTTCTCAGAAAGCAAACATCCTGCTATTCAACACAGATAAAAGCTCAGCTGTTACATTGTACTGCGGATAGTGAATTTTTCCATGAGAATCAACATAATGGAGAGATGTATGCAGGGATTTATAGAATATACACAGTTTAAACACACAGGGACAACACCTGTAGCATGAAGGATGGAGAGGCAGGAACAAAAACAAAGAGTGTTTTTCAGAGGACATGCTGGCTTTCTAGAATAGCCAACCTTTCTGAAAACTCTCAGAGGCTTCAACTGTGAGACTGGACCCCTGATTCCCTGTTTTGTCACCCGTTACCCTTGATTTGTTTCGTCTTGCTTCACCTGAAGGCAATGTTACCACCTATGTGAATTTAACTCTTCAGAAAGAGGCAGCAAAAACTGCATCACTCTCACAAGCTGAGTTATTCTGGAGAACTGAAGGATGAGAAAGGCTGAGAGAGTTGGGGTTGTTCAGCCTGGAGAAGAAAAAGGTCCAGGGAAACCTTATTGCAGCCTTTCAATACTTAAAGGGGGCTTATGAGAAATATGGGAACAAACCTTTTAATAGGTCCTGTAGTGATAGGATAAGAGGTAACGGTTTCAAACTAAAAGAGGGTAGATTCAGATTAGATATAAGGAATACATTTTTTACTATGAGGGTGGTGAAGCACTGGCACAGGTTGCCCAGAGAGGTGGTAGATCCCCTGTCCCTGGAACCATTCAAGGTCAGGTTGGACTGGGCTCTGAGTAACCTGATCTCTTTGAAGGTGTCCCTGCTCATGGCAGGGAGGCTGAACTAGACGACTTTTAAAGGAACCTTCTAACTCAAACCATTCTGTGGTTCTGTGTTCAATCCTGCTACTTCATTCAGGAGACTGAACTTGCAGTGGGAATATTCCTTGTGAACATATCTGTTGCCTCTTTCTGAAAAGCTATATATTCATTATCATCATCTTCCTTATAGGAAACAAGATCATTCAAGTGTGAGGGGTGACAAAAAGGTGTAATGACGATGGTTGCCTGGTCAGGGTATTGAGAAGATGGGCTTTAGGACCAATGGACAATTAGAGTATTAATGCAGTGACATCACAAATATGAGCTTTCAGGAACAACATTGCAAAGAAATAGGTTTTAATATCACTGTTGGTGCTACCCAACGGGGAAACACAGCCATCACCATGAGTCTTATTTGATCAGTAGGAAAAGACAGTTTTGAATAGCTGCTATCAATGAACAGCTCATAATAAATTTTAGCTATCAAAAAATACGGAAAAAAGTTAAACACATTTTTGAGAAAATGGTAATCTGTTCATAGACAATCTGGGCAGACTGGGTACACTGGATAAAGTATACACTGTAAATCATAGTTGTTCAGCTCTTGTAATAGTCTAGAAGTCTCTTAGGATTTAAAGCAAGCTGAACAACTGACAATCTTGGAAGAATTCAAGTGTGGCTTTATAATATCTGGTTCAATAGACTGAACTGGATCACTCTCACTGGCAATTATGTGTTTCACCAAGCATCTGGAAGCTTCATTGATGTTTATATTTTCCTGCAAGCGAAAGAAAAAGAGAGGTTGATTAGTCAATATTAATTACACCATGCTGCATATTTCCTGTGCATAACTAATTTTTTCTCTAGGCAACATCAAAAATTTACTTTCCTTAATAAACAGCTTTTAAAAATCGACTGTATTAAATAATGCTTACTGTAGTTTTTAAGTTAGTTAGGATTTTGTATATTATGATTCATATCTCCTTTAAAGTATACACAGAGCTCACTTTAAATTACCCCAAATTCTTGGTGATTTGATTACTTCAGTAAACTGAACAAACAAATGCCAGAGGGATGTTAAAGACAGATGCCTGAAGGAATGCTCCAAAATCCATATTTTACTGCTTGAATAATTGTTACTCTGATTTTCAATGTATTAATTACCTATCAGCAATTACAGCCATCAACAGCACTTATTTTTTAAAGCCTTTTCGATAGTTTCAGGAAGATCTCTGTATACAATGCTCACAATGAAACCTGTAATGAACCTGATTCATTGAATAAATTATACAATCTCAAGTTATTCACAAGACAGTAAAAAAAGTTCTAGAACATTCAGGGTCCTCACTTATTTTTTGTTGAGGCTGAGTTATCTCCAGTGCACTGCTTCAGAGCTATCTCACCATTGGTTTCATTTGTAAGACAGAAATCCTCACTCTAGGGGTTTAGAATGAAAGGCAAAGAACATCTTTTTCTACATATGCCTTATTTCAACAGCACGTTTAACTTGCAGCAACCTTTAGTCTGTTTGTGGAATAAGCAAAGCTGAAACAGCCTGATCAGCGAGACACAGCTCAGCACAGCATATAAAATAAGCAGCAATACTGAGTAAGGAATTATTTTTTTTTTCTGGCATAAAAGACACTCTTCTACTCTAACTATCAGCATTGATTATTTATTTTATATGACAGCAGATAGAAACCTCATGGTAGCTTCAGTCTTCTGGGAAATCATATCACACACCGACGTACATACATAAAGAAATGTTTAGAAGTATATATTATGTATATGCACATGCCCGTCTTGCTCCATAAAGATTATATTTTTCTTTGCAATCTAAGAGTGACCCAGGTTTCCAAGCTGAATCTGGAGTCAGTTGTACTGAGACTATAAACACCCATGTACACACTGCCATGAAGTCTACCTTCAGTAAGCGTTCAGCATCAATTCAACATCAATAATAAAATAACCTGTAAAATCTAACATGTGAAACATTTTTTATGTATATGTCCAAAAAAAGTCAGATGAGATGTTTAAGTATGAAGTGCAGCTATAAAAGAAAGAAGACAAAGTACAGGTGTGTGTGTGTTTCAGTAGACATGGTGAAGTTACATGAAGACCAAAAGCTAAAGTAACGGATTCTGTGAGGCTGATTTCTAATCCCCTTGAAAGCAACGGCAAAGCTCCACAAACTCCATTACCATCCCTTTGCGCCACAGTAAAGAACTGAAATCTGGGGATCTAACTGAAAACGTTAATTAGTGCCAAGATTTCACAGGTTTCTTCAACTACACAAGTGAACTTAACGATTTGAAATTTGAATATTGTAAAGAATATCAGTTGGTTGTAAAAACCCAAATCTTTAGACAAGTCATTTACATACTAACTCCTAGAAAGTAATAAAGAGCAGGGAATCAGCTCTGTACTGAGATGTTAAATTGTTCCTGTATCACATGGCTCTCTTGGACCAGAGAAGCAAATTCCTCAAGCACGCACCAAAAGTCTGTTTCAGAACACTGTGAAATTTTTTTAGAAAAAATAGACAATGAAAAATCTCTCTCAGTACTGCTTAGAAAGTTAAAGACAAAACAGTTCAATGCACAAAAGCACATACGTAAAAATCTTTTGCATTGTGTTTTCCTTTATTAATGGACTGATAAGCATTTCATTTACCCATGTGCTGCTTCTCTCTTGGGATGGCAGCATGCATTTTTTCAATAATGTCTTAGTGACTACCTGAGATTCTGCCCAAATTGATTAATGTTCAGAAACCCTAACTAACAGAAACCCTCTTTGAGAGAGGCTTAAGATCAGCATTTTGTAAGAGTGGGAAAGAGAGAAGGAACCCAAGCCCACAAAAGCATAAAATGGGTATAGGTGGACATCCCTTATCCCCACTGGTGATGGATGGAAGTCCACGTGCCAGGCCTGAGCCCAAAAATTCAGAAGGAAAAAATGAAGCTGTTTGACTTCCGCCAGAACTCAAACCAAAGTGAAATTGGATTATTAAACCTCTTTTTAAAGCTCTATAGCCTTTTGGGGGAAGAAAGACAAAACTGAACATGCAAGTATTGTTTTGACATAAAAAGTCAAAATATCTAGGTTTGAGAATATGAAAATTAAAAGCTTCTCTTTTTCTGCATTGCTCTTTCTCCCTGTTAATGAAGTGATTTACCAAATTTGACCCATATTCTTTATTTTTTTATTAATTGCATTTTGGATTGACTTTGCTGTTTCCCTGGTTAGTGTCTGCCCATATCTACTGGATATCTGTAAAGTGGGATTAGATACGGACAGCGATCATCCCTGGCTCTGGCCATTCCACTTGAAAAGGCTTCTACTTGCAGTCCATGCCCACCTTCCTCTCTGCCAGGGGACCATCCCTTCTGATGTGCCTGCTGAAGTTTGTGACTGAGCTCTTACTTCTTCAAGCAAAATGTGCTGGTTTGCCAGGGTCCACTATTCAAAGCATTTGCGCCTATGGCGTTAACATTCTGCCTTGTTCTGTATGAGAGGAAAGCAATAAAAAGTCCTGTCTGTAGTGTGTGTTAGATCAGAGAGGCATTTTCTTGTCCTGAACATTTATATGAGCTGTCTAAGCTGTGTGGATGAACATTTCTACTGGGGTACAAAGGGAACAAGAGAAGAAGGGTGACTCTGGTACAGCTGGTTTTGAGCTTGTGTCTAGCTCCAGCCTTCTCCCATGGTTCAGGTGACAACCAGTACATAGTACAGATGAGAAGCAACATGTTAAGTCACTCGCTGCAAGCAGCCTGTGCTCATGCCAACAAAGCAACTCCTGCTGTCCCAGCTCTCTGCCTTGACCGCTTCGTGATGCTACTATTGCCTTTTCTTACAACTAATCCTACGGTGTCTACTCCGTGTCCCAGGTCTGTGGATCAGACACAACCATATCCTGGTCTGTCTAATGAAATATTGATTTCTGCACCTCTCCTCCTACAGTGTGTTTTGCAAAAAAAAAAATTAAAAAAAAAAATCAATATTCTGCTAGGCAGTGAAGCAGCTGCAGACAGTAGATGGTGATCTGCTATCCAAACACAGACACCCAGAGACCTGGTAATTTTGGAGAGCAGTAGGTGTTGAAAGGCAACCTAGGGAAGGGCAGAGAAAAAGGAGCAGGTGAAAATCCACTGAAAAAATACAAAGAAACCAACAACCAGAGCGTAAGGTTGGACAGAGAGGACTAATCACAGACATCCTACTAATTGTTATGAAACATACAAATAGCCCCAATTATGCCTAAGAATGAGATTAATTATGTTTAACAAAAGACAGAAAGTATAGGTGAGACAACAGACTGAAACAATGTCTTTCAGTGAATGCCTTAACTGCCATCTCCCTTTTGTTCTACACAAAACACCACAGGAATTGTGGTGATGATTTTCTTTCTCCTTGCCTCACCTCTTCCTCTTCTCTCCTCACCTCAGCTCTTCCTCTTCCTCTTCTCTCTTCTCTCTCTTCTCTTCTTTCTCTTCTCCTCTCTCTTCTCTTCTCTTCTCTTCTCTTCTCTTCTCTTCTCTTCTCTTTTTTTTCTTTTTCTTTTTTTTCCTCCTTTTTTTTTTTTTTTTTTGTATTTTAGTAACTACCTTCCATATTCTGAACGAATTCTTTAGGTCATACTGAGAGGCCTACTCTGCCTCCTTGGTGGAGCCACATCTGAACATCAAGATGTTCAGGGGTTATCTAGCTCTTGACACAGTACTAGATGCACCTGTAGTGCTGCAGCTTGTGTTCCAGCCTGTTCAGAGGCACTTTCGCCTTCACAGTTCTCCAAACACTGGGGAAGGTCTGTCTACCTATACTACTTTTAGGCCTGCTATTACTCAGCACTGCATCTTTGATGTGTTTATCTTCACAGCATCTTTCTGTGATAGGGAAGTGCTGCTATGGCCATTTGTCAAATGGAGAAAATGCAGAGCCCCAAACAGAGGAAACTGTGTGAAACCTGGTCCAGCACATGGTGGTTAGTTGGTCCGAAGTAATCTCATGACAAGGCAGAAATGCAACAGCTTCCTTTCCCAAGGCTTGCAGGAGAGTTTTTACTGGAAGACCAAAAAGGAAGGGTCTGACTCTTCAGGTGCCTTTGTTGCTACCAGTCCTCCCTTCCTGCTTTTACTCTACTTCTCACATTGACATCTGATTTTGCACGCTAGCTTTTCTAAAACCCTTTCCTGAGCATCTCCCTTTGCCCTGTCCTCTGAGATGCCTAACCCATTTCTGTGACTTTTGTGCCTCCGTAGGCCTGAGCACCTGACAGACACTATCACAGTCAGTGATGCAAGAACTAAATTGTGAATCCAGCCCTAAGTGATTTACCCTGCACTGGCCTGCCAACGTCTGCCAGAGCAAGGACCTGAGCCCAGCTCCTGTGATGATGATGTCTGACTACTTGAGTCAGTCTTTCTCTTGACCCCATAAAGAAGGAATGCAAAAGTGAAAATCACCACGTGCTACTCTTTGTTCTACTACCAAACAAAGCAAGGCAAAGAAAATAACTCTAAGCAATCTCTGAAAGCCAGAAAGGAACACTGGAAGACACAAATGAAATTACAGTTTGCTTTGCAAATCATTCTCCTTCAAATGTATGTTTTCAAAGGGCAGTTTTAGGATAGTAACAGGGGCAGGGAAGTAGAGTTGCATGATTTAAATCCTTTGAACCTATTGGTATGGGAAATAATATCGTAGTCTTGTCATGCAACAACCAACTGAAGGGAAAATAAATACTTCATTCAATGTGTCTCAAAGCAGTACATAAGC